TAATTTTTAAAATGTAGGTATTATAGCCATTAGGTACTTATTATTTTTATATTTTATAAACATATGTATACATATACATACACACGATACACTAGGTACAGAAAATATACTTCTAAAAATGATTACCAATATGTATTTATTAGTATTTATTACATAGGTACCTATCATTTGTGACTCAACACTGTGTTGCATTGCGCGACTGAACCTTTCATATTTATAATATCTTTTTTTATGATTAATAAGTAATTCTTATTAATGCGAAATAAAATTGGCATATTAATTTAAAAAAAATTTACAACTACTTATCTAGTAATAGATATTTAACGCAGATCAAGCTAACGTATATTTTATATATATTATTTCTAATTTATCTTCTTTAAATAAAAATAATAACAATTGGACTTAAACTTTTATTTTCCATGTTACATTTTTTTCCTAAAGTTTAGATTTTTACGTACTTATCTAATTATTTGGTAATCAATAATTATTTTCAATAATTTATATTCAAATCATTTCATTAAGTATTTATAACATCRTATTGAAACAACATGAATAATATTTATTTCACAGCGCTCGTGCACTTTCACTAAAATCTTATACTCTCAAAGAATAAATTCACCACTTTAAAAACTTAACTTAACCTCCAAAACGACCTTGGTATTAAAACAATCTAGGAAAAATCATCAACATTTTATAGATGTTTCTTTACTAAATAAAATTAGAAAACCCCCATAATCCATACTACCTTACATAACCCTTCGGCCTCCACTCTCTGGAAATCTTCATCATAGATTTAAAAATAAAATAGTGTCACGATTTTCTAATTTTATCGTCTAACGCAGGGTTCATAAASATTCTCAAAAAATTATTGATCGATCATATTAAAAACTAATTAATAAACCAAAATCAGTCGACCACATAATCGCACACTTTTACTATCTTACAACGTGTATTCGAGAAGAAAAAGTTACCATTTTCCATTTTTTCCAATGGAGTAATAATAAAGGAAGAACATTGTTGTTGCTACAACTAATAATATAAATAATATACCCAAATAAATAGTAGCCATCCTCTGATACTTAAAATTTTTAAAGTTTAAAGTAGCTCACTTGTTAAAAAGATTATAATAATTATAACCTCTTGCTATAATGGTTTTATACCGATAGCTAATAAAAAAAAAAAAAATAATAATAATTATAACCTCATCTGCTCAAATACGTATCAATTCCAAGCTAATAGTAATTCTAATGAGCGGCTTCTAATCATGTGACCCCAATGTTATTATCATTATTATTATTATTATTATTATCTTTTACCCCATGCATATACTTATTAAGCTTGTTTTAAAGGCCGTATATTTCTTATTAAAATAAAAAAGTATTTGTACGYGCGTCAAAATGAACACTGAAGTACATAATAATATTAATATTTAATAAATAATATATTTTGTATTGAAAATCGAATTATACCTAGGAGTTATTGCAGTGCTACTGGGTACGATGTATGTTAGTACGTATTTAAATTTGAAAGTCCCTATTAAATAGGTACTGACCTAATGATAAATAATCGCATCAATAATGTTTTAATTATAAATAAATTTAATCTTTGATGTAGGTAGTTATACCTATACTCAATAATAAAATATTTAGACTCGTCACTCTACTCAAAAGCTAAAATTAAAATTTAATACTTAAATTAACTATACATATTATAATTCCCTTATCAGACACGTACACAGGGGGGTGTGTTGGGTGTTCAAACACCCTCCGAAACATTTGGTTATTTACTTATTCTATTTTAATGTTAATTGCCATATTATACTTTAATAGACAGCTAGGTATAATATTAGGTACATTGTGTTGGTGAAAAAACTGCTAAAGTAAAAGAAAAATGTTCTACTTTTCAATAATTRATTTTCAAAAACACTCCCCAAAACTTTTTTCTATGTAGGTACGTCACTGGCTCTTATCTACAATTCAAATTACCTGTTTTATCGGTTCTTTAGTTTTAATTACATATTACAAAAAGTACAATTTTTGTGTAATCGATTATATTATTTTAAGTGATTTCTAGGGTGTAGTTAAACAGGGTCCTTTATAAATATTAAGTACAATAAATTTCTGGTGTACTATGGACATTAGTAGTGGTAGAAATAAATTTTATTTATGGCTAAAATAAATTCGAATGCACCTACATATTTTGGTTAATTCCTTGACATGAAATAATTATAAATTAAGGCATATTTTTCTTCGATAATAAATTTTTATATTATATGGTTTTATTTAATTTTTATAGAAGCGAAACAGAGCGCGAAGCGAGACGAGTGCCCTCCTTCGGTCTAAGCATTAATAGTATAAATAGTAGGAACTACGTTTGACTTATTAGGTACCATGTAAACATGCATCTACTRCCTATTTATTAATGTTTTCTTTTTAATTTGGATTAGGTAATAAACTATAGATAGGTCGTATGTCGTGTGTGTAAATAAATGTACCTACCTATATACAGGGTGATTTTTTAAGCATGCTCGCCCCATTTTTATGCTTAAATTATGCATATATTCAAATTTTGATTTTTGGAATATT